GAGAGAAGGAGCCTCTTTAATCTGAGAGACTACAGACGGAGTTCACTCTCTCAGGGAGGGGGAGGGGGTAGGGTGGGGTTTGGAATTGGGCCAGTGACTTTTATTAAAATGGATCACTTAAATGAAAAGGGTTAAACAAATCTAATAATAAAATGATGAATTTGTTTATTTAAATTGGCCTACATTATAATGTTATCTAATTCAGTCATAAACAAGTTTGATTTTTATTTGAGTATTATGGTACTCTCTGTGTGGTGCTTTTATTTTGAAGGTGAGGATATAAGAGCACTTCCTCATTGAGAGTGCGCAGTTCAGACGAAACATCGAGGGCGATCCTGATTATTGTCACAGGTGAGTGTCCTTTGTATAGATAATATTAAACTTGCTCAACTTAAATACATGATCAATGGAAATACTGGTCTTTAGTTTAAATACATTTGTCTGCAAATTTAACTCCAGGCTATTTTAGTCAGTGTATTGTTTACTTTCGGTTTTGAGAAATGACCACAAACTGCGACTTGATGTTGAAATGGAGCAAACAGCTGAACGTGTTAATAAAATGTAATCTTCTGAAGGTAAATCATGAACAGAATAAAGTTTAAAGCCGTCGAACCACACAGACGTTAAGTCAGAAATATAGAGACGGATTTTGTCCGTTTAAAAAAATAATAACTTTATTAATCACATTTGTTGGTGTTCAGAAGGGAAATAATTCTGATTCAGTAGGAATTAAAAAGACATAAAAGTTCAGATTTAATGATAAGACTTTAATTACTGAGGGTGCGGAGAAATATAATAAAATAATTAAAGTCAGAAATGACGTTTAAACTATAACTACCTTTAAACTAAGGGATGAATGGGGTCTCACCTAGCCCGACTGTTGATACACACCCCGTTTTTGACCTGGAGGAAATCACAGAGGTGGAGGTAAAACATATAATCTCAGGGTTAAGATGTTCTAAGCTAGGGATGCAGATGATTTAGACACCAACTTTATAAAGACAAAAATTGACGGTCTAATAAAACCAATTACTATGTTAGTAAATCAATCTATTAGCACGAGGGAAGTTCCATCATCCTGGAAGGTGGCCACGGTGACACCGATTTTTAAATCTGGGGATAAGGCAATGATGTCCAATTACAGACCAATCAGCATCCTCCCCTGTGTCTCTAAGGTAGCTGAGAAATGGGTGTCAAAACGAATCACCAAACATTTAGATAAAGGTTTCGCTCCACTCCACCCAATGCAGTTTGGTTTTAGTGCTCACCACTCCACTGAGACAGCTAACTGTGTCTTTGTGGAAAAGGTTAAATCTATGTTGGACACGAGCCCATATTTAGGTGCTGTCTTCCTTGATCTCAGGAAGGCTTCTGACCAGTGGCGGCCGGTCCATAGGGGCGCTAGGGGCGCCGCCCCACCTCTTCCCATATTGAAAAAAAAAAAAAAAAAAAAAATGTTTAAAAAAATATATATATTTTTATTTTTATTTTTAATGAACAAGGTAAATATTATATAATTGGTATCAGTAAAATGTATAATCTACAATAAAATCTCGTTTAAAATTGTGTTACGATGTCTAAAGTTACTGATAAGTCACATGTTTCCTGCCTGGCCTTGCCCATGCACCTTCTCTCGTCTGGGCGCTAAGAGAAGAGCCTTCAACCAGCGCAGCAGCAGCCACTAGCAGCTGACTGTTGCTATCTGTAACGTGTAAACTATGCCGCGAAAATATAATTTCAGCCAATCAGCGTCGTCAAAGATGACGGTCACCGGGCGCCAATGTCAGCGCCCAGTGCAGTCTGTGAGTAGTTTGGACAGTGACTCGTATCCGGTTGACGCAGTAGTTGATGAGGATGGCTTCGTGTGCAGGTGGAGTCTCCGGACCTCGGTACCCGCCTAATTCTGTTCAAGAGCTAATCTCCAATCCTTTCGAAAGGAGAAGTTTGGCAGATAAATTGTTGCTTAAAGACCTTGGACCGGACCAACCCGATTTGAATATATCGCAGCAATCTCGTGAAAAAGACAAAATGTATACACGAGGCTTCACAAGTAGCTGGTACACAAGAAAGGCTTGGTTAGCTGGATGCAAACAGGTAAATGCTGTCTTTTGTTTCCCATGCTTGGATATCACTTTATATGTAGAGAGGAGGTTTCCCATGGTTGTTAGAAGTTTATTAATAAGTGGGCATTTATCACAGAAGTGATTGTTCTGTCTCCACGTTTGTTGCATTGTCTGTGATGTATTTTCCAACGGTTATAGCTCCTGTTCTGTCCCAGCAACACTACACGGTTTGCAGCTCCACCACATTTTTGGTTTATCTTCGGTGTCGCTTAAAATCTGCTTCCCATCGGACTAAAACCTCCACGTAATCTGAAGACAGATACTTGAAGTTATTTAAACCTTTTGCAAACTTTATGTTCTTTCTTGCTCTAGCCTTGCCAGTTACATTGTACATAACACATATATTATCATTATGCTAACTGGTTGTTCGTGTTAGACGATGTAGCTTTTTCATTTCTAAGTTATTGCTATATGTAAATAAGCCTGTTTGTAAATAATCCTCAGAGAAACAAAGAAAAAACACAATTTATGACATTTTGTGCTGTGGTTATTTTTTTTAAATTGCATTTATTCACAGTTCAGTTTGAAATGCTGTAGTGACTTGTATTGAACCACTTAAATATTTATAATTAATGCTACTGAAAAGATGCTATTAATTTTATATCTCACATGCAGTTCACTGTAAAGCTACTTGGTGAAGGTGTTGGTTCATAAAACATGAACAGTTTTAAGAAAGAAAAAAACAGACCAGTTCTGAGAACACAAATTCCTGGTAAAGTAGTAGATGTTCAGGTTGATAAATAATATTTTCCACACTGAAGATTATGGAGGTATTGATAAAGTGGAGTCTTCTCATATTTTTAAGCCTCGATTTCTCCTTTCCCCCCCCTCTAACATCACCAGAAGTCATCATTTAAGGGGTCATTTCTCGAAAAAAAATTGCGGGGGGAAACCCCCCGGACCCCCCGGGTAGGTCACTTACGGTACGTCAAGAGCCCCACCAAAAAAAAAGACCACCGGCCGCCACTGCTTCTGACACTGTTGACCACCAAGTGCTCCTTACAAAGCTGACATATTTCAATTTTTCGGCAGATTCAATACAGTGGGTTAAATCTTACTTATCGAACAGAAAACAGTGTGTTTTGGTCAACGGTACCAAATCCCCCTTCCTTGTGAACCCTGTTGGGGTTCCACAAGGTTCCATTATTGGACCATTACTGTTTTCTCTGTACATTAATGACTTGCCGAATGTATGTCCTGAGTTGAATGTGCAAATGTATGCCGATGATGCGGTCATCTTTGTACAGGGGAACAATACTGAAATTAGGGCTGTGCGATTATGGCAAAAATCATAATCACGATTATTTGGGTTAATAATTGATATCACGATTATTAAATACGATTATTCATTGACTTTGAAAAAATCCATTTATTGAACTTTAAAACAAATACAAATAATAATTTGAACAGTATCTTTTTAACTGTTGATTACCCTGAACATATAATTCAACTGAAAAACCAATACAAAAATAAATAAAATAAATGATACATTTAAATAAATAATATCAAAATAATAAATACCAATAAACAAGATCAACAAATATTTTGGAGCGCACTTCCCCAAGCTACTAAACATATATAAATATGATAAATACAAATACATTAGATCAAATATGTTGCACTGTCACAACCTAGCAAAGCTAAATAATTGTTTTTTTCGATTATGTTGTTTTCGTAATTGTGGCAGGCCAAAATCGTAATTGCGATTTAAAATACGATTAATTGCACAGCCCTAACACACACACACACACACACACATACATACATACATACATACACACACACACACACATATACTCCCACACAGCACACACACACATACATACATACACACACACACACACACACACACACACACACACACACACACACACACACACACACACACACACACACACACACACACACACATATATACTCCCACACATATACTCCCACACAAACACACACACACTAAACTTATGTAATTCAGAACATAAACATCTGTCGTGTTCAAAATTCCAGGAAAGACAGACAACTTCTAAGTTAACTATTTATTATAAGAGAGCAAAAGATATATTCACTTGGCCAAGGACTCCGTCACGTCATAGAAATCACAGGCAGCAAAGCTGTAATCTGTAACCACTATTTCCGCAAAGAGCCCCGAACTTCGTGCGATAATACATTTTATTACACAGGGCGTTGCCTGTACATTTATGATTGGTTGAGACGAGATGGAGAGTAACCTTGGTTTAGACTTTGGCTCTCTCTCGTTTGTCCCGATCAGCATTCGGCCGGCTGGCGAAGTCCCTCCCTACTCTGTCTCTATCCTAGTAATTTGTTTTCGCTAACGTTTCTACAGAAAAAGTGGAAAACCTTCATAATGCTGCTTCCCTAACTGTCTATTGATATGATAACGTTTGGCTGTAGTTTAATGATTAACCAGAGTTAAACATTGATAGCATTATATTTGACAAGACTATGCTAATTGGATTTAGTTTTGACTAGTGTGTCTCCTCATCAGACCGATGAAAGCACTTCAAGTGTTTTCCACAAGTAGAACTAAAGCCTTTGTACCTTCCTGAATCTGATCCTTTTCTCCTGCAGGTTTTCTGATCCTCAGTCATGGATCCAGATCTCACCATCGTCCTGCTCGGAAAAACAGGAGTTGGTAAAAGTGCTACAGGAAACACCATCCTGGGACGAACAGCGTTTCAGTCTAAGCAGTGTTTCAGGTCAGTGACGACAGAAATCTCTGAGCAAACAGGAAGTGTGTTTGGGAAACAGATCTCAGTGGTCGACACTCCAGGAATATTAGACAGCAAAGAGACAGTGAAGAAGATTACACGCTACTGTCAGGATCTCCTGAAGTCCTCCAGGCGCTGTCTGTTTCTGGTGATGCTCAGAATCGGACGCTTCACAAAGGAAGAGCAGTGGGCGGTGAAGAGAGCATCGAAAGTCCTCGGACGCAGAGGGTTGAAGAAGAGTTGCCTCTTCTTCACTGGAGGAGATGCTTTAAAGGGAAATACTTTGCATGATTTCATCTTTGCAGATGGAGATGACGCTAAGCTTCCAGATGTTGTTAAAATGTTCTCAGGGGCCTATCACCTCTTCAACAATGAGTCTGATGATGAGGAACAAGTCAGAAATCTGCTGCTGAAGTCTGGCCACCTGAAAACTGAGAAACAACCGGATTCACCAGGTACTGTGCTGTCCAATGCTCTTTATTAATATTCAGTAACGTCTTTATGAATTTTCAGTAATGCTCTTTATTAATGTCCAGTAACGTCTTTATTAATGTTCGGTATTGCGTTTATTAATGTTTAGTAATGTCTTTGGATGACCTGGTAACATACGTTCAGAGTGAATCCTATCAGCTGCTGGTGTTAGATGTTAAAGTGTTTGAGACCAGCAGCTGTCTGTTATTCTGAGACACATTCATACATGTACAGCAGTGACGAGCGGTGAGGTTCATGGCTGGTGAGGCACTGACTCTTTCAGAGTCAGGTTTACAAATATTATATCTTGACCTTAAAGGTGGGGTAGGTAAGTTTGGAGAAACCAGCTCGAGATCGCTAGAATTTGAAAATACACATCCGGAGAAAATCTGCCACTTCCTTACAGAGCCCCTCCTCCAACACACACGAACGCGCACATGACCAATGAGGGCACGAGATAAGTTTGTGCACAGATGGAAGGCTGACAGGCAGGTAGGCCATCCAGTTATTTTAGCCTGGCCGGCTCAGATGATTGGTCGTGCTTTTTACAGTACTACAGCTTCCACAGATGACATTTTTTATGGATTTTTTGTCAAAGCACTTCAGATATTCATTGCTATCGGGATGTTAAGAGCATTCCATGGAATATAACAAAAAGTGTATCTCGAGCCGGTTTCTCAAACTTACCTACCCCACCTTTAATCGAAATATTCTGTTATTTTCAAAAGCTTTTTTAGTCTGATGCTTCGATTAATTTTAAACCGACAGTTCAACAAAAGGATACCCACAAAATGTAGTTTCATTTAAATATTGGATTGTTCTTTCTTAGTAAGATCCCATTTTCATTACAAATGTGGTCTTACCTTGACTTGAAGATGAATAGAAGTCCATGCTATCCTTCTGGACAACAATCTCTATTACTTTTGTGTAAAAGTCCTCCTTATCTTCCAGTAGCTTCAAAAGTCTAGTTTGTTGTTTGCGGTAGAATAACAGTAGCAACAAGAACCTGTGGGCTCACGTGCGCCCCCTTCAGTGCGGCAGAGGTTATGGCTGCCTCCCCTGGTGCTTTTTTCATTGCCGTTGTATGATGAGACCAGCGAGCCTAAATATCATGGGCCATTCTACCGAATTGATGCAAAGTCAGGTTGGAACAGTTTTGAAATGTTGTCTGTTTTTTTCCCAAAACTTTGTCCATATATATTTTGTACCATATCTAAATTACACATATCTAGTAAAAGAACTGTACATTTTTATATCGTATTTTCAGACTGTATTGGAATGTTCTTCCTCTACCAAAAATGGTCACTACCGAAACATAGTAAATACACTGTTGTAAAAAAGTATTATATTAACCTGTTAAGATTGTTTTACCTTCCCTTCTCTAAATAGTATTTTAACAAATATTTCTTGAGGGTTTTCACAATTAAATCAATGCAATTTTTTATTTTTAATCAAATTTCACAGTTCAATTTATACAATTCATAAAAATCTTAATGCAATTTTTCTTTGTAAAATGCATAATACTGATCATATTGATTCCAGAGTTGATGATTGTTGAAATTGAACATACATTAAACCAATCAGTATCATATCATTTTAGTTGAAAAGTCAATATACTTGACTTTTTACAAAACATCCAGTGTTTCGGACCACAGTATTTTGTTCTCAAGGTTGTATCATATTCCCTCAACCTTGTTGCTTAATCTGAACTCATGCCTTATGTTGAAGTGTATGTGTATATATATATATATATATATATATTTATATATCTGAGACCTATAATATATGCCTAACAATAGTATAATAGGAGACCTTTAAAGTAACACACTGATTTTCAGACTTTAAAACACATTTATTTCAAAACTATGGGATTTACCTGCTTACCATTCCATTTTGTCACTACCAAAACGATCATGTCAATTACCGAAACGTAACCATATGTTTCGGTAGTGACTGTTTCGGTAGTGACGATTCTAGCTCAAATTGAGCATAACTAAAGAATGCTAGCAACTACATGGCTAGCATTCACGTTTTTGAAGAGGTTTACACACATAAAGACCTAATACTTTGCATAAAACTCAGAAAAAGTTTACTTAATTGAAGATAATATGTGTACAGTGGTGACAATTCTTAAGGTTACACGCCGATTTTCAGATTTTGGAACAGATTTATATCAAAAGTATGGGATCGAGCGACTTACCATTCAGCCATGAGGGACAGGGATGCAGTGTCACTGCCATTGGACTAAAACCCCTTGTGTTTCGGCAGTGACATGAAAACTGGGGACATGATTTTTTTGAGTATAGTTTTTTTATTAAAAAGATTAAACCCACAATAAATATAAATATTTCAACTTCTGTTTGAATGTAATCATAAAGATCTTCTAAATACACCATTCAACAAAATAAAATAAAATGTTTTAAGTGTTATTTGCAGAAATTGAAATTTAGATGTCAGGGTTGGGGACAGCTACTTCCCAGAATGCCCATACGTGAAATAAGTTATTTAGAGACTATGGATGGCGAGGACACATGTAATAAAGGGATCTACAAACATTACATTTGTGACCTACAGTGAGATGGTTTCGATCGCTTAGGGCCTGTGCTCCAGCCAGTTTCTGTGGGTTGACGTGAGGCAGAGCTCGTCCCGCTTCACTTCTCATCGCTCCCATGTAGTTGTAGCGGAGCTCTGCAAATTTGCCAATTTTGAATATAAAAAGCAGAAATCACACTTACAACACAGATCAGTGGAGACATTTTATTTATAATTTATTTTCTTTAGTTTTTTTTCCGTTACATTGGAGTATGAGAGGTGAGGCTCTGCCTCCCCTGACTGCACGTCGCTGATGTACAGTGATTTACTGTTCATTCATTATAACCGTGTTTCTGTCTTCCAGCTGGTGTTCCCAAAGAGAAGAGGATCGTGATGCTCGGTCTTCCTGGAGCTGGGAAAACTTCCTCTGGAAACACCATCCTGGGATCTGAGAAGTTCCAATCAGCTGCTGACTTTAATTCAGTCAGTACAGAGACGACCTCTGCATCCGCCACAGTGGAGGGCTGTAAGGTCACGGTGGTCGATACTCCAGGGTTCACTGATCATCTGACTCCAGAGGAGTTGTACCTGCAGATCAAGAGGTCTGTGGTAGAGGCGAGTCCAGGAGTACATGCCTTCGTTATCGTGGTCAGAGTAGGCCAGATCACTGAAGCAGACATCAAGCTGTTTAAGCTCCTTCCTAAACTCTTTGAAGGCGATGCTCTGAAGTACTCCATGGTGCTTTTCACTCATGGAGACGCCCTCAAAGAAGGTCAGTCCATTGAGAGTTTGATGAAGAAGAACAGTCATGTCTCTAAGCTGGTCTCCATGTGTGGAGGTAGATACTGTGTGTTTGACAACAAAACCAAGAGAAGCAGAGAGCAGGTCAGAACCTTCCTGTCTAAGATAGATGAGATGGTCTCAGCTAACGGAGGACAGCACTACACAGACAAGATGTTCAGGATGGCGGAGACTTTCCTTAGAGAAGAAAGTAACCTGTCAGGTGCTGGTAGTGACCAAAACGCTGGTAGTGACCCAAAAGCTGGTAGTGACCCAAAAGCTGGTAGTGACCCAAAAGCTGGTAGTGACCCAAAAGCTGGTAGTGACCCAGACCCAAAAGCTGGTAGTGACCCAAAAGCTGGTAGTGTTTCAAAAGAAATTGTATGGAGGAAAATGATTCCTTATATATTGATTGGAGCAGTAGTTGGAGGAGTAATACTAGGAATCGGAGGAGTAGTATTAGCAGTATCATTTGGAGCAATAGCAATAGGAATCGGAACAGGAGTAGGAGGATTAGTAGTAGGAGGAGGAGTAGGAGCAGTAGTAGGATACATGCGAAACAGTAACGATAAAGAAAAGAAAGAGTGAGTCAGTGGAACCTTCACTGGAGACCCCTGACCAATAGAACAACAGTGTAAATAGAACAACAGTGTAAATAGAACAACAGTGTAAATAGAACAACAGTGTAAATAGAACAACAGTGTAAAAGTCAGAGCAGTTAGTGGGCGCTCTCTCTGAAATGAAGGAGGTCTCAGGGGGTTTAAAACAAGTCAAATCACAAACAGGAAGTACTTCATCAGTTCCTTAAAACCTAAATCAGAACCATTCAGGAAGTCAGTGCTTCTTCTGAATGTAAACTTTAGTTTATTTTATATAAACTCACAAATGTATTCATATCACTATAATCACATTACATTACATTTAGCTGAGGCTTTTATCCAAAGCGACTTCCAATAAGTGCATTCGACCAAGAAGATACAAACTTGAAGAAAACAGAATCATATAAGTACATCAGGTTTCATAGAGCCAACACATTTCAAGTGCTACTCAACTGGCTTTAGATAAGCCAGTCCTTTGTTAGTATATAAGTGCTTTGTTAGTAATTCTATCGCTGGAAGTGGAGTCGAAAGAGATGAGTTTTCAGTCTGCTCCGGAAGATGTGTAAGCTTTCTGCTGTCCTGATGTCAAGGGGAGCTCATTCCACCATTTTGGAGCCAGGATAGCAAACCCACGTGTTTCTGCTGATGGGAACTTGGGTCCCCCTCGCAGTGCGGGTGCAGCGAGCCGTTTGGCTGATGCAGAGCGGAGTGCACGTGCTGGGGTGTATGGTTTAACCATGTCCTGGATGTAGGAAGGGCCAGATCCATTCACAGCATGGTACGCAAGTACCAGTGTCTTGAAGTGGATTCTAGCAGTTACTGGAAGCCAGTGAAAGGAGCGGAGGAGCGGTGTGGTGTGGGAACATTTAGGAAGGTTGAAGACCAGGCGAGCCGCTGCATTCTGGATGAGCTGCAGAGGTCGGATGGCACATGCAGGTAGACCAGCCAGGAGGGAGCTGCAGTAGTCTAGGCGTGAGATGACGAGAGCCTGGACCAGAAGCTGCGTGGCTTTCTGGGTCAGGAAGGACGTATCCTCCTGATGTTGTAAAGCGTGTATCTGCAGCAGCGGGTTGTAGCAGCGATGTTTGCAGTGAAGGACAGGTTGTTATCTAGGGTCACACCCAGATTCCTTGCAGTCTGGAAAATATATTCATTTTATGTTTTTGTTATTGATTCCTATATGCACTGTTAATGTACTCTGAATCTTCTATATACTCACAATTATTGGTGTATGTACTCCAGTACTGTTTTATCGTCCTTTATTAGATGGACTTGTGTCTTTATTTGATCCATGTGTAAATGATCTGCAGAGAGGGAGCAGCGGGTGTTTTCCAATCAGACGAGATAAGAACATGATTTTAAGTGGATGTATGCAATGAATAATAATAAAAGTACACAATCTAATATATAGTTATTGATAAGTGCATGACAGGAAACTCTTGCCAGATGTTGGTGTGTCTTTTGATTCGATCAGACTCTGTACCTTTAAGAGATGATTTGTTTGATCTTTAATAAAGAGTTGAACTTGACCTGAGAGGAGTCCATCTTTTGTTCTCAGAGACCTCCGGCCAGGCCTGGGTCTCCCACACCTTCAGGTGAACCTCCATCCTGGTTTGTAGACGTTAGAAACTTGAACCACTGTTTGATTTCTTTGTTCCCTGAAATCAAACAATGGTTCAAGGTTCAAGGGCCTTGAGTTCTACAAGAGTACGTTTGCTTTTTAGAAATGAGATGCTCAGTCCATATAGAGGTCTGAATACAAATATATACTGAATCAAAGTATACTATATTATTTGACGATACATCATTACATCTAGTTCAGTCACATTGGAAATGTTTATTAACAGCAGCATAGTTTGGCGTCTAGGCTCCAGCCTCATCACTCCACAGAAATATATTTACAAAGAACATTAAGGAGTGATGATTAAATATCATGTTGGCGATATGAGACCAGTGTGTGTAGGGAAAAGCCCCATTGAGCCCATTACCCATAGGCCCCTTTGGCCATGACGGAAATATACTACCTATACAACATACTTCGGAAACATACTGTTAAAATACATATGACTGAATCAATCATTTTATTCTACTGATTCAATTCAATATTAATACAGAAAATGTTTGAAAAACATGTTTGTATAGGCAGGAAGACAGAAAGCTTATAAAGAAAATAGGCCGACCGTAAATCATCCACTTTCAACGTTTTTGGTCAGGCACCTACATTTGGAATATTACGGCATTTTAACTGCAAACTTAGGAGGTGGGTTTCCATGTGTGTCTCTATATAAATATACACACGTACAAAAAATGAATTATATATATACTCATATACAGTACCAGTCAAAAGTTTGTCCTCGTGAGAGCCAGTTTCATCATAGCATTCGATGATTTTTGCGACTGCACTTGAGGATAAATTCAAAGTTCTTGACATGTTCCGGATCGACTGGCCTTCATTTCTTAAAGTGATGATGGACGGTCGTTTCTCTTTACGGAGTTGAGTGGTTCTTGCCATAATATGGATTACAGCAGTAGTCAACCTTATGCAAAGAAAATATATTTCCCCATATATTAACTGTCAATATATTGCATTATTTTGTTTTCTGATTTACTGGTTAATTGAAAAGATTTAATAAAGGAAATCTTGCTGTTGGCTACACCAACTGATACTGATTAATAATCAACATGAAAAACATATTTATTCATATCTACAAAATATATTGAAGATATATAGAATAATATATTGTGTTAATATATTACAATATATTGATATATAGAATAATATATTGTGTTAAAATATTGCAATATATGGCATAATACATCAGTAATTGCCGCTTTCCATATATTGAGTAATATATGTAAATATATATAATTTATTGGTTGTGTATATATGTGAACATACATTTACTATATATTAACATTTATATGGGGACATGTACTATATATATTCACAAATATATGGGGACATGCATGTACTATATATTCAGATTTATATGGGGACATGTAGAATATATTCACAATTATATGGGGACAGTGATTGATGTGATGCGCCGGTGAAGATGGCCGCATCGTCTATGTGCTCCTCTCCAACTTTGCCCATTTTCGTATTTTGTACATATTTCTTTTACTTTTGCCGTTTTACTTTTAACATGGTTCGCAACATGCTAGCCGACCGCACCTACTCTGCCATACAATATAGCAGAGGAACTTTTCCAATTGCGAAACTTCGTGGACAATAATAACCCTCCGACAAACAATGGAGATTCACCATGGCTACCTGTTGCTGTTCTACCTGAGAGACGCAAGAAGAAGACAAAGCGGGGATGCCGGGCCGGGTTGCTGGTCAGACTGAGGAAACGAGAGAATCGGCCCCCTCTTCCGAGTATTCTTCTGGCTAATGTTCAATCCATTGAAAATAAGCTAGATGAACTCAGAAGCCGGATTGCTTTTCAACGGGACATTAAGAACTGTAACGTGTTAATTCTCACTGAGACTTGGCTCAACCCCGCTATCCCGGACTCCGCTATTGTCCCTGACGGATTCTCTATTTTTCGTCAGGACCGGACTGCTAACTCGGGGAAAAGTAAGGGAGGCGGTGTGTGTGTAATGACTAACAACAACTGGTGCTCAGATGTGAAGATTATTTCATCGGACTGTTCCGCACAGCTAGAGCACCTCATGATCTCATGTCGGGCCTTCCATCTGCCGAGGGAATTCACATCTGTTGTGATAACAGCAGTGTATATCCCGCCGCAGCCACTCGCCGACAACAACACGGCACTCGATCAGCTGTTTGGGTTTATTGATAAAACCGAGACTTCACGGCCAGATGCGGCGTTCGTTGTGGCCGGAGATTTCAACACCGCCAACATAAAGAAGGTTTTGCCAAAATATTACCAACACATCAACTTCCCGACGCGCGGGGGAAACATACTGGACCATGTTTATTCCCCTTTCCGGAATGGATATAAGGCTCTCCCTCGCCCTCCCTTCGGCAAATCAGACCATATCTCACTACTGTTGTTGCCTGCGTACAAGCAGAAACTTAAAAGGGACAGACCGATAACAAGGACAGTACAACGATGGAGCGTGGAGTCAGATGAGGCACTGCAGGATTGCTTTGCATCTACGGATTGGAGTGTGTTTGAGGACAATAACATCAACACACACACGGACACTGTCATCTGCTACATTGGGAAATGCATCGATGACGTGGTACCGAAGGTTTCTGTACGGACATTCCCAAATCAAAAGCCCTGGGTAAACGGTGAGGTGCGCGGCAAACTGAAAGCGCGCACTCTCGCGCACACAGCGGGAGATTTGGAGGAGTACAGGAAGTCTAGGTATGATCTCCGGAGAGCAATTAAAAATGCAAAGAGACAGTACAAAGACAAGGTGGAATCTGACTTCAAAGGCTGTAACACTAGGAATATGTGGGCGGGACTAAGGACAATGACTGACTACAAAGGAGCAGCGGGGGGTGCTGCGGGAGTGTCTGCGTGCGCATCTCTCCCAGATGAGCTAAACAGTTTTTTTGCACGCTTTGAGAGCAGCCGGGCTGTGGAGGTACAGAGGGACCAGGAGCTACACTGCCCTTTTGTTTTAAATAGGGCAGATGTGTGTAAATCCTTTAAAAGGGTTAACCCACACAAGGCTCCTGGACCTGATGGCATCCCTGGCCGTGTTCTCAGGGTGTGTGCAGTTCAGCTGGCAGAGGTGTTCACAGACATCTTCAACAGGTCCCTGCTGCAGTCTGTAGTCCCCACATGTTTTAAACACTCCACCATCATTCCTGTCCCCAAAAAGACAATCATCACCTGCCCCAACGACTACCGCCCAGTAGCACTCACCTCCATCATAATGAAGTGCTTTGAGCGGTTAGTCAAATTATTCATCACCTCCTCCCTCCCTGAATCTCTGGACCCCCTGCAGTTTGCCTACAGAGCAAACAGGTCCACAGACGACGCCATAGCCCTCACCCTCCACACTGCCCTCTCACACCTGGACCCGAAGAACAGGAACACATATGTGAGAATGCTGTTCATTGACTACAGTTCAGCATTCAACACCATTGTGCCCTCCAAGCTGGCCATCAAGCTCAGAGACCTCGGGCTCAACAGCGCCCTCTGTGACTGGATCCTGAACTTCCTGACGGGCAGACCCCAGGCAGTGCGGGTGGGAAATATCACATCCTCCACCCTGATTCTCAACACCGGTGCCCCTCAAGGCTGCGTGCTCAGCCCTCTCCTCTACTCCCTGTTCACCCACGACTGCGTGGCCACACACAGCTCCAACACCATCGTGAAGTTTGCTGATGACACGACCGTCATCGGCCAGATCACAGACGATGACGAGACGGCGTACAGAGAGGAGGTCGAAAACCTGACATCTTGGTGCCAGGAGAACAACCTCCATCTCAACATCAGCAAAACAAAGGAGCTGATTGTGGACTACAGGAAGCAGCAGGGAGAGGGACACGCCCCCATCGCCATCAATGGGACTACGGTGGAGAGAGTCAAAAGCTTCAGGTTCCTTGGGGTCCACATCACTGAGGACCTGACATGGTCTCTTCACACCACCACCATCACCAAAAGAGCTCGACAGCGGCTCTTCTTCCTCCGCAGGTTGAGGAGGTTCAAAATGGATTCCAGGATACTCTGCAACTTCTACAGGTGCACGATAGAGAGTATCCTCACTGGCAGCATGACGGCCTGGTACGGCAGCTGCACCGACCTTGATCGTAAGGCTTTACAGAGGGTGGTGAAAACTGCACAGCACATCACCAGGACGGAGCTGCCATCCATGGAGGACCTTTACTCCCAGCGGCTCAGGAAGAAATCACTACGGATTATCAAAGACCCCCATCACCCCAGCCACAAACTGTTCTTTCTGTTGCCGTCTGGCAGACGTTACCGCAGCATCCTGGCAAGGACAAGAAGATTCGGAGACAGTTTCTTCCCGCGGGCAGTGAGACTGTTAAAAAATTGAACTGTTGAAACAACATCAAACATTCATCTGCTACTCAGTAGTATGTATCTAATACCTAATATATATATATCATTCCAATAACTTGTATATAGACTCATACTGCACTATTCCACATCATAACTTTATTTCATTTTTATAACTATTATTATTTTGTATTGCTCATGCTCTTATTGTTATTATGTTATGTTATTATGTTGCATTGTTGGAGAAGCCTGTGACATAAGATTTTCAACTGCATAATTACTCTGTAGCTATGTCAGATTGACAATAAAGAACCTTGAACCTTGAACCTTGAATATGTACTATATATATTCACAAATATATGGGGACATGTATGTACTATATATTCAGATTTATATGGGGACATGTATGTAGAATATATTCACAATTATATGGGGACATGTACTATATATATTCACAATTATATGGGGATATGTATGCACTATATATTCAGATTTATAAAAGACCATGTACGTACCATATATTCTGAACATGAGTGCAATATATGAGGAGAAATGCATGTTCCGATAAAAAAAATCTTTCATTTCATTTCAAACCTTTATTTATGCAGGTGAATCCCATTGAGAGTTCCACATGAATACATATAAACATAA